ATCCATATTTTAGATGTCCTTCGTAGAGACAAAGTGGATACCAATTTGAAAAATAACACGTTTGTGTCCATATCAGTTTGTTTCTAGCTTTTGTATGTCAATTTGAATAAGGAACATCCATGTCTACATTCAAAATAAAACTTTCAAGATTCAATAACATACCACAGCTCCACTTAAGTGACTCCATCGCATCAATAATAGCTCGGCATGGGGTCTACAAAGAAAAAACATTGCAATAAATAAAAAACAAAATAAACCTGCTACAAAGAATAGAACCTAGATCTAAAATTAACAATAAATTATATAAATAACAATAATAGCTCGGACATAGGGTCTACAAAGGAAAAAATTGCAATAAATAAAAAAAACAAAATAAACTTGCTACAAAGGAAAGAGCCTAGATCTAAAATTAACAATAAATTATATAAATAACAAGAAAATAACTTAAAAAGGAAATAAATAAACATGTACTGTAACAAAGAATAACTATTATACAAGATTTTTTTAGGCGCCATTATACATGATATAAATCGACAATATTTAAACTCCATTTAAAAACTAACACAACAATTGGCTCTAGAAACTAATGGATTTTGATTACAAAATTGAGTACAATAATAGGGTGAAGAATAGCACCGCTGACAGTTTATCAAGGATGAAAGGGAAGTGAGCTACAAGGGATCTGTCATGATTCCCAAACGGTCAGATCAAATCGTGCTATTGCTCCATAGTTCATTGACTCGCAGGAGAAGCTTAACAAAGGAGACTCAGTGGCTAGAAAAGGGTAAAACTAGAGATGGCAATCTAAGCCCATACCCAATTGCCCACCTGCTTATTAGCCCTCACAAAACCCAGTTTCAATTTTATATGTAACAAATGGGCAGGTCACAGACCCGCCCATTTCCGCCCGCCCATGGATCCAAAGTCTGAAATGAAAGGCTATTGCATGGTCTCTATCGATCCAAAATCTCAGTCTCTCTTCCCCGTTCCCAATCTCAAAACCCTAGAATTAGCCAGCAAAGAAATTGAAGAAGATGACTATCAACGATCGTCATCGGTGAGAAAGCTCTAATGGCCTAATCCCTCCTCAACAAGCCCTAAATTTTCTCTGCTTCCTCTCATTCTCGACGATTGTCACCATCTCAATAAGCCGTAATGGCCTAATCCCTCCTCAAAAGGCCCTAATCCTTCTCAATCTGTCCAATGCTTGCTGATTTCCCTAATTTCATGCAATCTAATTCCACTAATCTTTGAATCACAAGATCTCTAAATCAAGATTCAATTACTGGTTCAAAGAACGTAAAGTTAGTAAAATTCAAAGAATGCAACCAGTAAAACATAAAATTCATAGATTTCAAAGAAATCAATAACCTAATAGGGGATCTAAAAACGAGAAGGAAAATATTAAATCTTACTCTTCATCCTCGGGCCCATTCGGTACACCGAAGGTGAAAATGTCTCGCCTCGATCCATCGGCGTTGCCGTCGGTGTTGCCGTCACCGCCCATTCGGCTGATCTACGAAGAGAGGATAGGGTTTTGAAGAGGGGGAGAGAGGAATATTAGGGGTTAGGGTTAGGGTTTTAAAAAGAGGGGAAGTGCCGATTTGGGGAAATTGGGTACATAATCCGTATCCACGTCAGATCAACAATTTAATTCATCGCACAGCAAGCACATGGCAGGCCCTCGTCAAAAAATTGGTTGGCGATATAAAATTAGCTAATTAAAACACTATTTTGGTACAATTGGATCTAAATAAAATATCAATTTAATAATTAAGCTTTTTATTAATCTTTTACTAGTAGTCCAGCACGTGATGCGTATATTATACGCTACATGTTTCACTTAAATTTTATAGTTCGATCTAAGTACAAATGGGTTTTAATTGAACTAGTATAATGCACGTGTTTTCCACGCGAATGTACACGTTCTAAATTTTAAATTTTTTATTAAATAGTAAAAGTATTTGTAACTAAATAAAATAGTATAATAAAATTTCTTTTCAAAAATATATGAAATTAGTTATTACTGTGTAATTATTGTAATTGAATGTTTTTCTTAAAATGATCGTCCAGTGTTAACCTTTTTTTAGATAAATTACACCAAACGTCCAATTACTTTTAAAATGTCTTTTTATGCCATTTTTTTATTCTAATTTATAAGGTTATTTGCAACATTCAAACAGTTATTGGGGGTCTTCTTTAAAACAAAAATGTTAGAGGTTTAGTGTAATTTTGAAAGTTCATATGGGCTAAACGTTCATAATAGTTTAGTATAATTTATCTTATTAAATAATTATAATGAGAAGCAAGGTTGCTAATAGCGGATAACGGCGCGTCGCGACAAGGTACCGCTAAGGCTATTTGGGGCTATTGCTGCAAAATAGCGTCAAATAGCGCACAGTCAAATAGCGATCAAATATAAATTTATTTAAATATTTTAAATAATAAAAAAAATCATATAAAAATCTAAAAATTCTACAAATGCATACTTGATGCCTGAACATGAAATAGATGTGTAATAATTATATAATATTAACAAAGTACTACAATTATAAAGATTAAAGAATAAGAAAACGTACCATGAAACGTAAAACCCTACTACTCATGAAAAGTAAGCAATAAACTACTTGAATAAAGATATCAAGTGTTCAATAACCATTTTGATTAGCTTCTCAACACTGCTAACTCAGCCAGACAACAATATCATGGCTTAGGTTATTAGGCCCTAAGAAGAATTTTGATTGCTCATGTAAATATTGTTTAATATAACTCGAAAATCTTTTTCATTACCTGAATTGTTGCGTTTCTTTGATCAATATAATCTTAGAAATCTTATAAATATTTTTTGTTACCTGAATTATTAGTTTATTACATTTTCTCTCTATAGCAGACGAAGCCGCTGCCCAGCAGAGATGGAGAATTGGAGATGTTGCTGCCAGAGGGAAGTGTTGCCGGAGGAAAGAGAGATGGCTTGACCAAAGAGAGAGAGGTGATGCTATTAGTTTATTGCCGTGAGACTGTGAGAGAGAGATGGGTTGACCGGAGAGAGAGAGATGGGCTTCACCGAACTCCGGAGGTGGTTGTTGGTGCGGGAAGCGGTGTTGACGGGAGCTAGAAGTCATCGCCGGAGGTGCTGCTGGTGACGAGAGTCAGCGTTGACCATAGAGAGAGAGAGAGATGGCTTGACCGAAGGGGCTGCTGGTGACGGGAGTCGGTGTTGACCAGAGACGGCATTGACGACGCTAGAACTAGAAGTCGTCGCCGAAGGACTGTGGAAGAGAGGGGCACAGTCGGGAGTTGGGAGAAGCGGCTAGGGCATAGTTGGTTCGGGACTCAGAGGTGAGGGGGTTATGTGAAATAGGTTTGGGTCGGGTTTGGATCGGGTTCAGGGAAAGAATTGAGATCCACTATAGCGGAAAATAGCGCTATTAAGCGCTTTTTAGCGCTAAACCGCCGCTATTCCGCGCTTTTCGAGCGAAAGGCAGTTTTCTCTGCTTAAACTCCCCGCAATCACCTTAAGCAGCGTGGTGAAGCCCTACGACCGCTATCCACGACGCTATAGCGTCGCGATTTGCCACTTTTTACAACACTGATTGGGAAGTAACTATTGTAATACGTTGTAGGTATCAAGTGTAACTATCTAGAGAACATAAAGAACAAGCTGGCAAGATTATTACAGCTTGGTTAATTTAGAGTTAACAACTTTCAAGTTGGAGATGCATATTTAAGATAACTTATAGAATTGTTAGTTTTATTTAAGAAGAATTTTAGATCTAGGGACTTATTTAAAAAAAGGTTAAATTGGACGATCAATTTAAGAAAAACATTCACTTACAATAATTACACAGTAATAATTAATTTCATATATTTTTTAAAATAAACCTTATTATACTATTTTATTTATTTACAAATAGTTTTACTATTTAATAAAAATTTGAAATTTAAAATGTGTACATTCACATGGAAAACATGTGTATTATACTAGTTCAATTAAAAGTCATTTGTAGTTAGCTCGAATACAAAATTCGAGTGACAAACATGTACCGTCTAATATATGCATCACATGTGCTAGACTACTAGTAAAAGATTAAAAAAAGCTAAATTATTAAATTAATATTTTATTTAGATCTAATTGTACCAATATAGTGTTTTAATTAGCCAATTTTGTATCACCGGCCAAATTTTTAATGAGGGCCTGCCATGTGCTTGTTGTGCAATGAATTAAATTGTTGATCTGACATGGATACGGGTTATGTACCTAATTTCCCCAAATCGACACTTCGCCTCTTTTTAAAACCCTAACCCTAATATTCCTCTCTCCCTCTTCAAAATCCTATCCTCTCTCGGTAGATCAGTCGAATGGACGCCGATGGCAGCGCCGACGACAACGCTAATGGAGCGAGGCGAGACATTTTCACCTTTGGTGTACCGAATGGGCCCATGGATGAAGAGTAAGATTCAATATTTTCCTTCTTGTTTTCAGATCCCCTATTAGGTTACTGATTTCTTTGAAATCTATGAATTTTATATGTCGTGCTGGTTGCATTCTTTGAATTTTACTGTTTTTGCGTTCTTTGAACCATTAATTGAATCTTGATTCAGAGATCTTGTGATTCAAAGATTAGTGAAATTGGATTACATGAAATTAGGGAAATCAGCAAGGATTGGAGAGATTGATAAGGATTAGGGCCTTTTGAGGAGGGATCAGGCCATTAGGACTTATTGAGACCGTGACAATCATCAAGAATGAGAGGAAGCAGAGAAAAGTTAGGCCTTGTTGAGGAGAGATTAGGCTATTAGAGATTGTTGAAAGCTTCTCACCGATGACGATCGTCAATAGTCATCTCCTTCTTCAATTTCTTTGCTGGCTAATTCTAGGGTTTTGAGATTGGGAACGGGGAAGAGAAAGACCCCATTTTTAGCAATTCGCACAGAAACTAGAAAACCAATAGCCTCAACAAAACGCCCCATTCCAGTTAATAACTAGAAAAAGATATCACCTTTTTGCTCTCTTGGGATCAATCAACGCAAGCTCAGCAAGCTTATCGGCCGCCACCGCCTTCTTCGCATAATCCGAACTCTTCGCCGTCAATGCGGGAGCAGCGAGGCGACAACAGAAGCAATGGGTCAGGCGGTCAGGCAGCAGGGGGCACAGCGAGCAGCGGATATGGATCTGGCGAGTGGATCAGAGGAGCTGGCGGTGGATTTGAGTGAGGGAGTAAGGGTTGGGCTCTAGGGTTTCATCAACTTTTGAAGTGGGTCCCAAAAGTGTGGTTTTCACCAGTAGCTAGGGTTTATAAATTTTTTTTGAGGTGGGCCCCACCGTTCTAATGCGAAAATTCCCTCTAAGGGCATGTTTGGTTATTTCCTAAAAAAACTAAGAAATATAAATGAAAACAAAGAAAACTCAAAAAGTACAATTTCATCCATTTCCATCCATAAAACTCACCCACAACATCTAATAAAATATTGTTTTTATCCAACAACTCATCCACCATATCTAGTAAAATATTATTTTCATCCAATAACTCATCCACCACATCCAATAAAATATTGTTTTCATCTAACAACTCATCCACCACATCCAATAAAATATTATTTTCATCCATAACATCACTCAACTCATCTTATCTCATCATTTCAAATCACTCACATCATCCAATAAGATGATGACAACTCATCTCATCTCATTAACATTTCATTTCCACACATTTCCTCCCAAAAAGCTAGGAAAACAATTTCCTTAAGTGTGGGTCACATCATCCAATAATATAATGACAACTCATCTCATCTCATCTATTTTCTTATTTTTAAGTATGAACCAAACAAAAGAAAACAACCTATTACAAGAAATAGGTTTCTTATAATTCATTTTTTTTATTTTTTTTCGCCAATCAAACAACATCAAAACAAGTTTTCTTAAAAAATCACTCACATCATCCTATAATAAGGTGACAACTCATCTCATCTCATCTCCATTTCTTTGATTTCCTTCTTTTTTTAGCAAACCAAACACTCTCTTTTTAGAAATAGTTTTCCATTTCTTTGATTTCCCACTTTTTTTAGACAAACAAACAGACCCTAAGATGCATCTTCGATGGAATTTTTCCGTTTAGGAGGGCACATCATAAAAATTTGGTAACTGTCGAGGTTGCTAATCTAGACGAAATTTTCCGTCTTGATTGAGACAATCTATACAAATCAAACTAGATGTAATTTTTTTCGTCTAGTTTGATCCATCTAGGTTACTCATTTTTCTAAACTAGTTGGATTGCACGTGCAATGCACGTGGTAAATTTTTAATTTATTCTTTTATTATTGATTCATTTCATTAAGATTTATTTAATTTAAACCATGTGTCAAACATATGGATAGAATTTAAAAATTCAAAAGGATTGAATAATGAAATTACATTTATGTATCAACAGATTCATACTCTTAAGATAACACTTCTATCATTGATTAAAATCAATTGCAGATGAAACCAAAGGAGAAAAACCATGATACTATAACTAAAAAGAATTTCACATTTGTTTTTACAGATATGGATCAACTTTAATTGATATTTCTCCTGTAGAGTTCACTCTCAAATTGGGCTCCAATAAGTTTTTTATTAGAATGAAATTTAGATGTCGCATATATCCACTGAACCTGACTTATCATAGGTAAAAAACAATGACATATTGAACTATCGACTCACCAAAGCTTCTTTTGAATCATTTGCTACCCATGTTTTTTTAGTAAGCTGCCTGCATTTACGACTTGTCCCGATGCATGGCGACGAGAAGGGTATGCTAAACAACCACTTGTTCTCCCTTCTTTACCACCTAAATTAAAGTTTTCAAGTACGAAGTTTAGTAATTGCTAGTCTGGGAAAGGTATTTTTGGCAGTAGTTAAAAAAATAAAGATATTATAAACACATTTTATCTATATTAGATCTATGAAAAATGACCATGTTAATGAAACACAATAACTGAGTGGCACAGAAGCACTTGGTCTGAAAATAGATAAAACATGTACTGGAGCAAGCATGAAAAAGGAAATTTTTTAATAAAAAAAGTGAAACAGGATGTATTCTACGACATAATTAGATGTAACAAACTTAACAGAAGACTCCCAAATAAACAGTTAGCAAAATCAACTACCAGATTGCCTTTTGACATTACCAAGAGCTGGTGCCTACCCAGGGCTAGGTCTTGCTCCAGAACCCTATATAGAAGATAAAAAATGAGCAAGGTTTTGTTATGATAGAGAAAAAGAAATCAAAACAAATAAAAACCTATCTACAAGAAATTAAGCCTATATATGCAAGACTTACAAGAGGTCGTGGAGGAGTGCTAGCAATTTGTGATTGATGATACTTCAATATCATTCAACATCTTGCTTGAGAATTACAGATATCTAAACCTGCCATCAGCACAAAATTCCTCGTCAACAGGAACAATATGAGTTACCAAAATACCTTATCCTCGCGAATAAAAAGGTCACAAAATATTCTTTTAAGTTATGAAAAATTAGGTTTGTCGTCAAAACGTAGTGAACGGCAGTAGTGGTAGTTGGATGTAAATTTTGTAAGATATCCATAACATAATGCCTGAAGATAATATATCAATGTTGTCAAGATTATATATATATATATATATATATATATATATATATATATATA